GGGTCTCATGTGGAGAGAGGAAGAGGAACCTCAAGAGTTGACTGCTGTGATGGTTGATGGAGAAAGACAAGTTGGATCTTCTCTGGCTCAGGAACAAAGGTTTTTTTTTAAAAAAAAAAAAAAACCAGGGATGGGCCTGACAGCAGGAACAGTAATTTAGTACACAGTCCCTTGAATGCAGATCCACCAGAATCATTGTTTGAATTTTGTCTGCTTTGTAAAAATGTCTTTATCCACATGCAGGGAATTATTTTCTGGACATTGGAACTGAACTTTTGGTAGCCTTGAACTGAATGACTTACTGAGGAAGAATCTCTTAAGAACTGTTGCAAACACATTCTCAGCTACTCCTGAGCAAGTCTGGCAATTAGCAGGAAAGAACCAATACAGACCGGGTATCTGGCCCAATGTCTTTATTCTTTGCTTCCTTCCCTACCAACAAGTCCCAGGAAATACTAGCAAGGTAACCAAAGGTAACCCACATAAAGTCAGCGCTGGGAGCGTCCACCTCCCGGAGCTCCTAAATACCCTGAGCCCACCCCCCATGTGTTTTCAGTATCTTCTCTGCTTCTGTAGCCACTATCTGGTTGCCGATATCACGGAGCAAGCGGCCACGATCCAGGAAGTGCCGTCTCAGCATCCTCACCTCAGCCGCCTGATCGTCAATCAGCTGGAGTCCACTGTAATCCCTGACAGGCCACCGTATCGCCGCTGCTCACATGTTGACAAAATGCAGGTCTGCGCCACTCTCACAGGCCACTGTAGTGCATGCCGGGTTCCGTCAGTTGGCAGGTGATCGGAAGATAGGCGGGTGTGGTCCGGGCTTCTTGTTGAGCTACAAGCTGGAACTCGACACACATGCCAGTTGTCAAGTTGCTGTGTTCCTGGGCCACGTGGCCACCTTTTGTGACCTTCTTTCAAGCTAAGTGTCAGCCTTGGAAGCCATATTTTACTTAGAAGCTTCGAGGCTGCCATATTTTAGTGCCTGGGAATTCGGGAGGGGGGGATTTCATAGAGAGGTGGAAGATTAGACACAACAACATTTTTCTCATAGAGTCAAGGACAAGTTGCCCTGCACCTGGAGAGGAGTGTCTGGAGGAATGTCTCCAGTTGGGACGATGGTTGATTGGACCATATGATGGACTGGTGGGGGGCAGGGGATGGAATTTTGATTTTTAATGAAGAAAGGACAACCCGGAATTCTCAGATTCGGGTTTTCCCAGAGGTGCCAATATGACTTCTTCAGTAAATTCCTTTTTGGATGGACTTTGTTTCTGAGTGCTGAATGAAATGGGGAGTTTGATTGGAACACTGACACAAAGTCTGTGGGGAAGCTTTAACAACCATGTGACTAACAATTACAGTGATTCCTTTAACAACAGTGGCAAGAAAGGCTGTAAAATGGGGCAAAACTCACTTAACAACTGTCTTGCTCAACGACAGAAGCTCTGGGCTCAGCTGGGGTTGTAAGTCAATGACTACCCATAGTTGGACTTGATTTGGAGACCAAGGAAAAAAAAGGTTTGTTTGCTCTCCATTTTCCCCATCGCATCCAAACCTGTTTGGCTGTGCCAGGTTAAGTCACGCCCTTCCTTGTGGCGAAGGCTTGTGGGCTTCGATGGGTCTTCTCTACCCACCAAGGGTGCCCTGCAGAATTGAGACCGCAGCAGCCCTGGGAAGGAGCAAGGAGCAAGGAGCAAGGTTCTCCACTTACTTCCTCAATCCTAGTTGGCAGGCTGCCGTCTTATGTTATTGCAAATGAGGATGACTCCCTCAAGTCTGGTGCCGACAGTGTTTCTTCTTTGACTTACAAAGCTGGAGCACATCATCCTCCCACAGATGTTGGCAGAGCCAGGTGGCTCTACTCGTAAGGAGTGGCTCGTACAGCACTTTTCAAGACAGTCCCAAATGGGATGATGGGAAGTCCGAATGAAGGTAAGCCCCAAACTGGGGAATCAAAAGTAAAATCCGAGACTACATCTAGGGAAATTTTATTTTATTTATGTGTTGCTTAGATGTTTAATCCTGCCTTTATAAGTAAATCAAGGCAGCAAAGCAAACATTCGTAATGCTGCTTCCTCCGCCGCTTTTTCTCCACAACAACAAACTTGTGAGGTGGATTGGACTGAGGAAGAGTGACTGGCTCAAAGTCGTCCAGTCTGCTTTCATGCCTAAGGTGGAACTAGAGTTCACCATCTCCTGGTGATTGGCCCAAAGTCACCCAGTTGGCTTTCATGCCTAAAGTGGGGCTAGAACTCACCATCTCCTGGTGATTGGCCCA